TTTATGATTGAGCCCATGAACATGGGTGAAATCACCAAGGGAGACAATGTAAAGAGAAGAGGGCCTGGGACAGAGTTTTGGGCATCACTCATACTTGGGGGGAGAGGAGTGAAAAAAAAAACATGAGGACATAGAAGCTGAAGAAGAGTGGGAATGTATGTAGGAGAAGAAAGGGCATGCAGGAAGAGGAGCAGTCAGTGGAGTCAAATGCTACAGGATGTTTAAAGAAGATGAAGACTGAGGAAGGGCCATCAAATGTAGCAATTAAGAGGACATTGATGACCTTTGATAGAGCAGTTTCAGTGGAATGGTAGGGTCAAAAGTCAGATCATAAGGGGCTGAGGAGTGAACATAGTACTTTGTTTCCTATACAAGGATATTTCAATTAATGAATCCCCCTGGGAAGGAAGCTTCCTTGTAGCATCAGCCCAGTGGGGAAGAGGGGAGGAGTCTATCAATCATACTAAGATGAGCTATTTACCTGTATGAATGCATTACAAATATACCTCAGTTCATTTTAATTTGTCCAGGTCTATTTAGAAGTAAACAAAGTCAACACTTGGCAAAGCTGTGAAATCAAAGAAGTTTGCCAACATTTCAACAGACTTTTATTAAGAGGTTAAAATATGCAGAAAACTCTGTGCTAGGTACAATTAGGAGAGACAGAACTGTGATTTCCTTGGTTTGGACATTCCTGAGCGAGGAACCTCCCCCTAGCAGTGCAGATCAGCACCTTCTCTGCAAAGTTACAGTCTTGGTGAGTTACCTAAAGTACTGAGAGGTTAAGATAACTTGCCTAGATTCAACCAGTGAGTACTTGTCAGAAATGAATCTTGAACCGGGGTATTTCAGAGCCAGCCTCGGGGAATTTAGGGCTTCTTTTGTCTCTTTATCTCCCTTCTGTGGGGTTACTTGCCCATAATGACTTTAGCCATCTTCTTTCCCTTATCTCCCCAGAAAACATGGAGAGATCTGATAATCAGTAATTTAGATTTATTTGTTATTGATAAAACATGCTTAACAGAAACGTGTTCATACTAAAGTGTTGCCTTAGTGAGACAACTGAATTTTTCTGTATTTTAACTCCAATTAAAAAAAGAAAGTGTTTTCTTTATTAAAGGATTTTAGCATCAGCCATCAGGAGAGATCCTAGGAACCATCATGAAAATGTTTATTCTGAAATCCTACTCAGACTGCCTTCAAGGCAACTGTCCTAGAATCCTTTGATAACTTGGAGTGGGGACAGAGAGAGAGAGAGAGAGAGATTGTCTATGGCATCTCCTTGTTCCTCTGAGTGTGGTTATTAGAGGCTTAGACTTAGTGCCTCCCACACTAGAAATTGCTGGAGGCAAAGAAGGCTCTGACCTTTGGCACATTCTTCACCCAGGATCATAGGCTCACAAGATCATAGTTGGAAGGGACCTTATGGGTCATCTGAACCAATCCTTTCATTTTTAGATGGTGGAACAGGAGAAGCTAAATGACTTACCCAAAATCAGACTGATAGTAGGTATCAAAGCCAGGACTGGAACTCAGGTCCTCTGACTCTATGTCTGATGCTCCAATATTTGTTCCACCTTATTATACTATAGCAGATCCCTTTCCTCACTTCTCTTTCCTTGCTTTTTCCTCCCTCAAGCATAGAAGTCATATCTCCCTTCTTCTAATCTTAAACAAAAAGCTCTACCATCATCACTAACTATACTCCTCCACATCATGTTTTTGAGTTTGAATGCTTAGAATACAGTGGGAGTGTAAGAAGTTTTAGAAGATATTTTTGGTTTGTTTTGGAAGAGGCATCTATCTGCAAAGAACAAAATATGTCTTATAAATCTGTTCATCTGCAACAAGTATTCCCTTTGGCAAGGGTCTAATAACTAATAACTACATGGATCTCCCATCTCTGTGCATTTGCAGTGGTCATACCTCATCCGTGGAATGTCCTCCCTCCTAGCCACTTAACATTAAAGTCTCTCTCTTCCTTTAATGGTTTAGCTTAAGCACTATGTTCTGCCGAATACTTTCCCGATACCCCCAACTATTGGGGCACTTCTTTCCAAACAGCTTTATATTTAACTACGTGGTATATAGGGTTTATTCACTTTGTGGTTTTACTACATATGTATGCATTTGTTGTCTCTTCCATTAGAATATGAGCCTCTTGTGAGTAGGGTTTGTTTCATACTTCGTACTTGTATCCCCAGCACCTAAGACAGGACCTGGCATGTACTAATTGCCTTAATAGAAACTTGTTGATAGATTGTTGATTGAATAGGTGGAGAAATATGGACCAAAGAAATTGTCAGCTATGGAAATTCATTTATTTAACTAAGTACTTCCTCCAATCAAATTAGAACATAGTTTTATCTTCTCTCACTCTCCCTCATCTAAAGGCCCCTTCTCACTGTTGGCACCCAGGTTTTTGAATCTTAATTCCTCTCCCTTGGATTATTATGATAGTATCCTAAGTAATCTCTCCACTTCTACTCTATTCCTCTTCCAGTACATCCTATGTATGGCAGCCAGATTATTACCCAAGTAACTGGGATGGCAGGCGAGGGCATGGAGGTGGGGGTGTCACTGAAGGTTTTTGTACCAGGGACTGAAATGACCAGAGCTATGTTTTAGGAATGTTAAATTCAAACTGCTTCACCGGTCGTACAAGGCATTCTGTAATTTCCTATTATCATCACTTTAGAGCTGGAAGTGGGTTTATATGCCTTTTAATTCAACCCTCTCACTACATAGATAAAGAAACTGAGACCCAGAGGGTTTGTCGAATGATTTCCTTATTTTCCTCCAAAAATACTGTAAAATTTACTCCACTACCTGGATCTGTGTATTCTGTGCTCACGCTGGTTATTGACGTACCTACTGGGATCCTGGGAAAGATACTACTGCCAGAAAGAACTACTCATTTATCCTTTTAAAACACCTGGTGTCTCTCTCTTTGTTCACAACCATTGCCTTCGCTTGGAATCCCCTCCTTCTATCCATGCTCCCTTCAAAGTCCTACTCAACTCCAATTTCCTCCATGAAACCTTGACTGATTATAATAATAATAATTATATGCATAATAATTATAAGAGGAACTCACATTTACCTACTAAATTAAAATTTATAAAGTGTTTTCTTCACAGTCTTGTGAGGTAGGCAATCTGATAGTGTTATTCCCACTTTACAGGAGTATAGTGGGGCATAGACTTGCTCTTTTCAGTCAGAAGTAATCTCTTTCCTCTGAACTACCATCATGTTTTATACCTTCTCATTGCATTTTAACGTTCTTTCCATATTTATATACATACCTCTCCTACTAGACCAGAGGCAGCTAGATGGTACAATGGATAGAGTATTGGGCCTGGAGTCAGGAAGACCTGACTTCAAATCCAACCTCAGACATTTACTAGCTGTGTGACCCAGAGAAAGCCACTTAACCACTACCTACCTCAGTTTCCTCATTTGTGAAGTGGAGATAATAATAGCCCCTACCCCCCCATGGACATTGTGAGGATCAAATTACATAATATTTGTAGAGATTTTAATACAGTGCCTGCCACATAATAGGTGATTAATAAATGCTTTTTTCCTTCCTTCTTTACATGGAATCTGTGGACCCCCAAGGGGTAGGGATATGTGGATAGATTTCAGGGTGTCTGTAAACTTGGATGTGGAAAAAAATATACTACTAACCTCTAAGTGAAATTTAGCATTTTCTTCAATTAGTTAAAAACATAATTGTGAGAGGTGGTCCATAGACTTCATCATGTCAAAGGGGGTCCATGACAGTAAAAAAGTTAACCCTTCTAAGTACTGACTGATTATAAGCTTCATGAGGGTAGGAGCTATATTCTTGTAAAATCTATTGAGTGACTCATTAATAAATAATTTCCTTCTCTCTCAATCTTACTGAACCACTCTACTGCCACTGAAACATACGTTATTTTTATCTTTTCTCCGTTTTCTAGAATTCCTGTTTGCTAAGTTTTCATAAACATTTTTTAAAAGGAATTCTGAATGTGTTTTCATATACTTGAATTCTTTCTCTAAATTAACTGGCACAAGGAGTAAAGATTATATTGATAGGCATGATTGGGTAATGAAAATCCCAGCTGGCCTGAAAGACTTAACCAAATTAGATATACAAATAAGTGTATAGTGTATTTATTTTTTAAGTAACTTTCCTAGGAATCACATAGTAAATTAGTGACAGACTGAGAAATAGACCCAAAGCCAGCTAACTCCCAATCCAATATTGAGCCTAGTAAATGACATTTTCTTCTCTCTCTTTTCCTTTGCTGAGTTTTAATGTTTTGATCACCCTCTCCACATTTAGCACTGCCCCATCTCCCCAAGGCAGGAAGTTTAAGTAGCCACTCTGACCTCTCACTCTCAATCCCTGGAATGTAGCACAATATTTCAAAGGGTCCATTAACGGAATTTGGTTGTGAGCTGTAATCTGAAGATCTCTAAGCACATCACAAAGGTAGATGTTGTCTTTAGTATTTTATCAGAAGTATCTCATTCAGAAAGAAATCCACTGTAGAACTACGTGAAGCAAAATACCTCAGGCACAACTGAGCCCCAGTCCCAAATTCTCTGGGCTCTTACACCTCCGTACTGATCACCTAATACGATGTTCTTTCCCTTAGATTTTCTTGAACTTAACTAAATTCACTCTTGATCCTTTATTAATAAATAATGTTTTTTAAAATCTTTAACTTTAAATAGAGTTAAAGAGTTGAGAAGGAAATCACTGATAAGTATTATATATATAAGTCTGAATGCAAATAAACTGAGCTCAGACAAAATGAAAGTTGAGAGTTAGGAGAATAAGATTAGATGCTTCTTTATCGGGAATAGTACACAAAAAACATGTAGGCTAACCAAGTTCTTCATCATTAATCACAGAGCCTAGATAACCTAACCCCTCACTTCCAACCCAGACCGTTATGAAAGTTATGACCAAAAAATCCAATAATAACAAAAGTCAGATCACTCACAAACAGCCCTCATTTTTTTTTTCCATATGTCTCCATTTCTTTCATTCACTGTCTCCATTTTATGGTGCAGCCCAATGCTTGCCCTGCTAAAAAGGATGAAACATAGCAGCTGCCTTGTTGAAGAAAACTTTGGTTAAAAGTTACAGGTTTGCTTCATCTCCCAGGGTTCACACAGAAACAGGCATTATTATCCTTGGAGGCCACTGTTGGTAAACAGGTATATTAGTAGAGGTACCTCCAAGGGCTTATATGTCAAAGCTGTAGCTAAGAACTGAGTTACAATCATTAATTATCCCAACTTCAGGTCGGGGTTGGGGAGGGAGCTCCCTTTATAGCTCAATTCAGTGCTGGTTCTGCAAATCGTCACCAAAGGCCAGTGGTTACTCCAGGCTGATGACTGTTCTGCATTCTTCCAGTGTGGACACAGGGAGCCGTTGAAAAGAATTGAGACACTTGTCAACAGAATGGGAAGCTGGGCTTCATCAAAACAATTTTAGTCTCTGGGACTAATGACCTTTTGCTGCCGTTTGTTTTAGTTAGGAACTAAATGGCCAAGTTGTTTTAGATAACAGTAGCTTGGCCTGCCCTTACTAGGTATTTTATTGAGAAATTATAAAAATAGTAAGTAATTCTAATTATCAATTTACTTTAAAATGAAGTTAATCGTTGCAGAAAACAATGAAAGAGTGGATTGAAGTGTTTAATAAGCATAATGATTTGGAAGAAGAATGCCTAGTGGTATTCCTTGTTTGTTCCCATTAATACACTAATAATAGTTATGCATAATAAAGATACAACCTTTCTAAGGGGCTGTATGTTTCCAATTTTTTTTTTATTGGTGTAAACTGAGCTAGCTGATGAGCAGCCTCCCGGGATGGGACAGGATCACCCTTGTTTCCTGTTCAGCCTTGCTGAAGCAAAAAGCTAATGAAAGAAAAGAACGTAATGACTTTACAATCCAGGTAAAAGGTTCAGGAGAGCTCAGAGGTCAATTGATTTTTAATCCTGCTTTTTTTTAATGCTAAATCTTGATCACTGAATTTATTTTCCCAAAGAACAAATAGATTCCTAGCTAATAAGTCTGCGAAGCCAACTTAAAAATAAATAAGATATATGCAATCATAAATATAAAAACCCATCCTAGTAAAGTAGAGGATAGAATATTTTCATTTATCTAAAGTGTTCTAAAGGCCCATTTTAAAGGGTATGCAATTTTTATTCAAAATAAATATGCATGAATAGGGCTTTCTATAGCTAAATGTATATTCTGAGTATGAGAGTGTAGGGAAATATTTAAATTATCTTAAGTAAAAACAGCAAATCTGCCTTGCATAGACCATCAGCTAATTTATTGAAAATTGCACTGTTGACCATTTCCTTACTGCCCCATCTCAGAATGGAGAACAGAGATATTAGTTGCATCATTGTGAAGCAATGAGATTTCGGTAAGTCGTGATCTGCTGGCATGTAATAACTCGATCTGCTTCATGCAGACAAAATATATTAAAAGTATGGACGAGTGAAGTTTGTGCCCCAGGGAGAAGGCAAGATAATGCATTGAAATTGTTCAGAGGTAGTTAGATGCCTAATGGTCTAATATGTGAGCTATGTGAGGTCTGGGGTCTGGTTCTCATAAATTCTGGCTAGACTGATCCTGTAATTTCAAGCAAAGGATAAAAGCTTTAGCCAGAGTCATCAGTGTTCAAGGTCCATGATGCTGGATATTATTCATGTAAAGATTTTTAAAAAGGGAAAAAAGGCTAAAAGGAAGGCCCTAGTGGCTACACATAGATCTATGTTTGTGGGATTGTGTGCATGTTTATTTTTTTAAAACATCCACACTCATATATGCAGGAAATATCGTTGGAAGAAATAAGCTGTTTCAAAATATAACAAGCTTTCCGTGTAGTGGCAATGATGGGCTGTGATTTTGGTATGTTACAATCTCTAACATGCCCCGTGAAGAATTAAATAGCATCTAATTATTTCAACTTGAAATTGACTTCCCTAAAGTTTAAAACTGGAGTAAAAACGTGTTTTTAATAAAATTTTACCATTATGAACAGTCATTTAAAACCAATTTGGATGGATTTAGGAGTGATTAGAGCAAAAATTCCCAAGACATTTGGTAACTTTACAAATGATTTTATAAAATATGCTAAGACCATTCAAACAATTATATTGGCTAAATCGGGATTCCTCTGATTTTAAGATGAAATTAATTCTTTGAGCTCTCTGCTTTTAAAATTAGGTTAGAAACATTCAATGACTTCCTCCTCTATATTATTTTATTCTTGGAGGGGGAAGGGAGGCTTAAGGATTGTATTGACAATTTCTTTTAAAAAAATATAAAATGCACTTTTTCCTGATCCTATGATAAACTTACAAAATCTGGCCTCCCAGTATCTTTGACAATATTTTTAAAGTCTACCCAGGTTATAGAAAAATTTCCCTGCACTTCCCAAAACTTGTTCGCATTCATAAGGACTTCACAAGTAGAGAAGTCCACAAGAATCCAAATAAAGCTTTTTAGCTAATCATCCTTGGTTTCATTGTAACTCTGGAATTCAGCACAATTTCACATTTCATGAAAGTAACTTGTCTGCATTTCCTTTGGTTGTAGATTGACATATAGTTTTCATAGCCACCACTTATATAATTTGCATTGATACTGCTTACAATTAATTTCTAAATTCTTAGTCGTCTGTATTTTTCTTTTGTATATCTTCTTAATAGGAAGAGAATATGTGTGTATACGCATATAAATACATATGGGCATGTATATATATATATATATATAGAGAGAGAGAGAGAGAGAGAGAGAGAGAGAGAGAGAGAAACAGCTATGAACGTGTATGTGCATTATATATATTTGTACATCTATCTACGCAAATGCATATATATATATATAATATGGTTTTTTTTTTTCAAAAGATACCCTGAATCTCTTCTACTAGGCTTAAGAAAAACAAAGAGAGTATAGACTATTACGTTTTTCTTAGTCCTATTGCCCAGTTTTCATTATATTCACTTCTTGATTTCTTTCAGACATTGAGCATGTGAGCCAGTATTTATTTTCGTGATTTGGATAGATAATATTTCCAGGCTTAAAATCTAGTTGTATTTTGCCTGTAGTTAACCAAATGTCTTGGGAATTATGAAGGTAAAATCCCACAACGGCTTCAGTCAGAGACATAAATAGCCAGAGAAAACATCAATAGTTTGGCAAGTAAAGAAGCTTCTGCTACTATTTTTCTTCTACAGCTTCTGCTACTTTGCAAGGTGGCATTTCTTACCTATCTTTGAAGATCACATGCCCAAAAGATAAGCCCAAGCTACAGGACACAAATGGAGAAAAATTTCAGGCAACCTGTCATTGGTTGGTTTAATTTTATCTATCTCTGAAGAATATGTAAGAGTCTAAACAGAAAATTTTCTGAAAATTCAAAGTTAATGTACAGATCAGATCCAAAGTCCAATAAGGATGCGTAGCTTGCTAATGTCAACAATAAATTGAGGCAAAATTCAGAATCAATTTGGGAAACCTACCAATATAGCATCCTCTTCAAAATCTTTTCCAAATTGCGTATAAAATAAAATTACATAATTTCACAGAAAATTAGTTTTGAGGTTTTCTAAACTATATAGAAGAGAGAATCCAGAGTCACCAGTCTAAAGACCTGATCTCCTATTAAGACATGACCTTTTTGTTCACTGAAATCTGACCTTGGCTTCAATGGGAGCTCTGTGTTTATATTATCTGAGGCAGTGGCCCTAAAGTACACTGATATTACTATTCACTGGTAATTGGCAAACATTGACTGAGTACACAGTTTATTCAATCCATTGCTGAAAATTTATGAAACACATCACATTTAAAAATAATGTGATTATTTGTGAAAATTTAAGATTCTCGACTTTTTTTAACTTTTAAAATCTGTTACCCAACTTCATTCATTTCTTTTCAGGTTTAATTTGGAAGTATAAGTATAGAAAGAATCTATTTAAAGATATTTTAATACCCAGTGAGGCACCAGTTCAAAATATGCATCTGTTTAATTATGATACTATTTTTGACTTTGCATAGCACTTGTTACTATTAAATTGCATTTAAAATATATCAGATATGCAAGTTCTTAACCATTAATCTAAAAATTATGAAGGGGGGGAACAACCAGACTGATTTAACTAATTTGATAGATTATTTCATAGTTATCAAAGCAGAGTAATATGACAATACTGCGGAGTTAAAGGGGTCTAAAGTAAAAGAGCAGATAACATGTTTTAATAGATAAACTTAATGAACACACGAATTGTGCTGTTTGGTTTTCTTTGGTTTGGATGCTTTCAGTAGTTGTGGGAATATGAAATAGGCTAGGTCATGTTCCACTCTGATCAATGCTTATAAATGTTGTAAAGGTGGGAAATGAACATTTATTTTATTTTTTGCATGTTTTAAATATATGTAAAATACATCAAATAATGGCATGATTTAAAATTTATCAGGCCTTAAAGATAGTTTAGATAGTTAGTTTAGACTTGTATCTTATACCTTATGAGTAAACAACACTAAAGTATGTGAGATTCAGTGTATCTTTAAATGTCTTGCCTAGTAAGATCAAATTGACAGAGTTAGTGAAAATGTGACCCAACCAGACTTTGCAAACCAAAACACATCTGGTAGGTCTAATTTTAGTCTAATAGCCTTGATTGTGTCCCCTGATGAAAGAATAGTGAGGAGAATGTGTCCAAACAGGAAATGTTGATAAAACTTTTGCTTTGGTTTTTTTTTTCTTTACCTATAGTTTATAGATCAAAGTATGTTTGTAAAAAGAAAATCTACTTACGGAATTTCAAGGAGAATCAAAGCATTATATCACACTCAATGGATTGCTTGGTGGGATGAAATATTATAGCATTTGCTTTAGTCTGATGCTTAGTAGACAAGTCCCCTGAGTAGGGACTATGGCTAATTCTGTTCCTTTAAAGAGCTTAATGTGATGTTGACACTCCAGGGTTTAATAATATATTTTAACATGAAGGAAGAACTCAAGGCTTTCATGTGGAAATATTGCAAAACATCCTGAATCTCTGAAATTAAAGAGAGAAAGAAAAGAACTAAAATTCACTTGTGCTCCAAATTCTCCTTACACGTTTGTTTTTCCTAGGTTAGGTTTACATTTCATAGAGGTTAAGGGTTCCATCACCTTCCCTGAGACACAATTTCATGATCTATTAACTCTTACTATCAAGATTTACCTATTCATTCAAC